GTAATTTAAGAATGCTATTGACAAAAATAGACATAAAAATGAATTCTTGGAGATCAAAGGAGTCAAGAATTAATTCACTAGGTTCGTCATTCTCGTTAAGATAATTTATAATGTTATGCGTAATTTTATTTTCATATTATCTTAATTTTCTGTGGTATTGCGAATGTTACTGTGGTTGATTTTAACAATTTATAATGTTAAGCTTCAAGCAATTTATAACATCATTATTTACTATGTCTTAAAAATAGATATGTAGATACATTAGCAGCCTTGTTTACAACCTCTTTATTTCATGATTTTTTACGAGGTAAATATATATATATATATATATATAAGTATAATAAAGAAGATAATTTTTTATTACATCTTCCTGTTCGTGAAAAAGGTAGATTTCTTAGTTTCCCAGGGTATATGCTGATATATATATATATATATAGGGTATATGCTGATATATATATATATATACTAGCAGAACCCGGCATACGTTTTCCTGCCCAAAAAAAAGTGCATTGTAGAAAATTACACATCGCGAGTCTATTTTCCATGTTTCAATATAGGTGCCTACTCATTTTCATGGATATCATTTGAACGGTATACAAGATGAAATACTGCAGCGTCCTCTGGTGGCAAGTGACAATAAAGTGGATAGCGCGAGCTTATTTTCCATTCTTGAATACATATCATGACCAATTTTCATAGCGATGGGTTGAACGGTATAGAAGCTGATAAACAGCAGCAACCTCTTGTGGCGACTTGCAACAAAGGGAATAGCATAAAACACTCTCCCTGGTTTGTCAAACAGACACAAAAAATGTCATCAAAATCGGTCCATCCGCTTAGTAGGAGTTCAGTGACAAACACATGTAGAGAAGAATTATATATATATATAAAGATATATACATATTCGTAAAAGATTTTGATTCAGAAAGTTTCATGGGCCATGCGTGGAGAGTAAAAGCATGTATGATAGAGAGAGAGAGAAACATTAACAATTGTGAATACGAGCATTAGTAATGTGGATTGTTAGAAATTGTTAAAGTGGAAGCTTGTAATTCAATTTTACGGCGATTTGAGGTAGATCGCTACTATTCATCTGTATAAACCTAAAAACATTTTAAATTGGCATGGCTATTGTAACTTGCTTATAGATCCCTCTTATTCTTGAGCTTTTTATTTTTGTTATGATAAATATCCGAAATGAGTGTTTAGTTATAGGCATGTTGCTTTCGAAAGCTTGGTCTAAGGCTGTTTGACACTGAAATGGCAAATCTCTATTACTCATATGTATAATAAACTCATTAATCTGTAACATTTTCAATCAGAAGGGTATCGCAACATGCTTGCAGATCCCTATATTGTTGAGATATTTTGTTTTATTATGAAAAATACCTCATATGATCTACAATTAAAAACATGTTGCTTTCAAAAGAATTGAGGTAGATCGCTACTGCTTATCTTTATAAAATGATGAACACATTAAATTGGCTAAGTTATCCTAACATGCTTACAGATCCTCATATTCTTAGCGTTGTCGTCTGGAGTTTCACATGAACGAATTGAATCAACGAACTTCTCAACATATCGATTTATCATGCCGTTTTACTGATTTATAGTATCATGTCGTTTTACTGTTTTATAGTATCATGTCGTTTGACTGATTTATAGTATGTGGTTTGACTAATTTGTTATGTCGTTTAGCACCATGTAGTTCGACTGATTTATTATGTCGTTTAACATGAAGTCGTTCGACTGAATTATGTCGTTTGACTGATTTATTATGTCATTTAGCATCATGTCGTTTTACTGATTTTATCAAGTCGTTTTAGCTCGTCCAATTTAAAAATCTTCTCTCTTGTTCATAAATCCACCACAATATTCATCAGTCTGCTGCGATCTTACTAATAGACATAAAATTCAACTTTTTTTTAAAAAAAAAAGCATCTTTACCTCGCATTGAAGAGATATATCATACTTTGATAATAGCCATCAGCTTAGTATTCACCAAACTATTCCATGAGTATAAATTACCATAGCGATTACTCATTATGCAGTTCATTAATACAGACATGATAGCTATAAGAGGAATGCAGCATTTACCGTGTGCTCATAATGATGTAATTACCACACCGTCCACATATTACTGATCAAAAAATATTCGGAGTCCCATTGCTCCACGGCGCAAAATAGCGCCACGTCAATTTTTAGCCATAAAATTAATCAAATGGTGGAATTTTCCTTTTGCGTATTCATAATACGCCAGAGAACAGGGCAAGAAAAAGTCTCGCGGAAGGACAAAGGGAAGAAAAATTTGGTGTTGCGTTACTTAAAATGTACGATGCAGTGAAGGCCAACATTAGATGAATATAAGCGCAGAATATGGAATTCAGACGAATACAGAAGAGTCCTATACGAATACAAATGTGAAAGTTTTGAGTTCCACTTAGACTATTTTTTGGTCTAATAATAAAATTTTCACTATATGATAGATGGGTTGCGGTTATTACAATGATGTAACATATACTTTTCAAGCAGACGTCGGAAACATTTGTTTCGCATTTTAACTACACAAATTGTGTAACAATTTTTAATTTTGGACAATTAAGTATAGTATCACATATTCTGGATAACAAACTTCTAGGGGTATTAAGGCACACTTAGATGAATCGGAACTACATAGAAATGCGTTGATGGAAATGCTTTTCTCTGCAGATGGCCTTGAATGAGCAGTTCTTGCAGACTTTCTTCATTTCACATGATGCAGAGGTGCTAGCATGGATGATCATACTAACGCGGAACTAGCGGATAAGTCTGGCTTATAAGCCAGTAAGATAAGTCCAGTTTGGCTTACTGGACTGCGGAGAGCAATGGGTGAGCCGCATAGCGCTTGTTTAGCACCAGCCCGAAAACGAATTTGACAGCGAAAAAAAGTTAACCAATCTTTTTAAAAGCCAGTTTGACAGAACCCCTACCAGAAAAATCATGTGTCTCGATCTCACTCCGTCAAGAGTCGTTTTTTTCCGCACATCAAAAGGTTCCCATATACAACCAGTTGTCATTCACACTACTACACCGCACCACGTCACTGTGACTAGAGCTGAGTTGCTCTTATACAGTTCGGGAATGATATGGGTGAGTAGTTTGATTGGGCTCTGTGAAGCTCTACGGTCGTAAAGTGTCCAATGGTCTGTAAAGCTCTACGGTCTTAAACTAAAGAAAGTGGTTTCCGAACCACTACAAATATCCATAACCGTCGCGATTCGAACCCGAAGCCTGTGGTACTCAGCGCCAAACCGCTAGCTACTCGGTCATTCAGGCCCCTCTGGCTGTGATTCACAGCCGGAGATAACGATTGCTGTTCGAGGTCGAAAGCCACTATCTCATTATTCACTAACGTCTGGACGATGGCCTGATGGCCAGCTCTGGCCTTTGGTGCCACAGACTTAAGGTTCTGTACCTGGCCGGGGTATAGATGTTTGTTAGTGTTCGGAATCCACGTTAAGCTGTAGGTCCGGTTTAATTAGCCCAAAGTGTGCAGAAAATGACCCCGTAGAGCGACAAACCAAGCCAAACCTTGTCTGGACAGGGCATTTACTCTCAACAAAATCCGAACAGGCTTTATACTCAGCCATTGTGTCTTCGGACGCCTATACTAGAAGTCATCTGCGAGGAGAACCACTGACTTAAATGAATCACATTTTTACTGCTCACCTGCCAGTTCTGAATCAATAGACTGAATATCCGTTCGATTTTGTACAATAACATTTTTTGGGATGCTCGCACTTCGTACAATTGAAACGCAGCCAACGGCCATACCATGCTGAATATACCGGTTCTCGTTAGATCACCGAAGTCAAGCATCATTGGGCGCGGTCAGTACTTGGGTGGGTGACCATCTGGGAACACCGCGTGCCGTTGGGATTCACAAATTTGGGACCTGAATGGCCGAGTGTCTAGCGCTCTGGCGCCACAGGTTTCGGGTTCGAATCCCGGCGGTGCCGGTCTCCCATGACTGTAAGAGCGTCACGGAGCCAAAATCAGACTTCTAGCTACGGGGGTGCTCCATCACAACAGAAGCTGCTTCCTTCCCCTTCAATCATGAGTACGTATGGGCTCGTGGGCTTGGCCAGCCAAGTGGGATAAGAAACAACAATAACAACACAATTGAAACGCAAATAAAAACCACAATCAGTAGTATTTGTATCAAAATGGAACTCATATCTAGATCATATACGGATCACTTGTAGATAAATCTGCCTCTATAAAGCTACTTATTATCTTTTCATAGCTTGAGCTCATTTTTTGTTAGGGATATACAATAGATAAGCCTTTTACAAATTCATATTCCAAGTATTGGCGAATCCAAAACGCCTTATCGTTAAATGTAGGGGGCCTGAAAGGCAGAGTGTCTAGTGCTCGGTGCCACAGGTTTCGGGCTCGAGTCCCGGTGGTGCCATCGATGTCTGTAGTGGTTCGGAATCCACTTTAAGCCGTAGGTCCCGGTCTCCCATGACTGTAAGAGCGTCACGGAGCAGAAGTCAGACTTCTACCTACGGGTGCTCCGTCAGAACAGAAGCTGCACCCTCTCTCCTCCTTCCAGGAGGGACAGAACAACAACAACAACATTAAATGTAGGGATTCTTCAGGTGATCCATTATCTTACCTTCCAACTCAAGGGGCCTGAATGGCCGAGTGGCTAGCGCTCTGGCGCTCGGTACCACAGGTTTCGGGTTCGAGTCCCGGCGGTGCCATGGAAGTTTGTAGTGGTTCGGAATCCACTTTAAACCGTAGGTCCCGGTCTGATATGGGCATTGTTACTCCGCGTCCGTGGCTTATCTGCAAATTACACGCGCCCACTGGATAATGCAAAGTGAGTAACGTCTGTGCAGCGCTTGCCTTAAGGCATCCAAAACCCAGCTGTCTATGTATTTGCCAGTTGCATTAGAAAGAAAAAAAAGCCTTCCAACTCATTATCAATACAGGAATTGTGATATAGTTAGGAAAACGAAATAATGCACAAAAGAAAATTTTTAAAAAAAATCCAAGAATATATTTTAAGTTGTGGGAAATTTTGCATTAGAATATATTAATTTCAAAGATTCTCAAGTCTGGAACAGGTTAATCCAAATTTCAGAGACAATCCTTGCTGGTTCATCTAAGTGCAACATCTGGAAGATTTTATAACCCTCACCCGTAATTCACCTTTGTTACTGTTGACCATGTTACTCCTGTTGATGTGCATTGATAAATAAACCGTATTTTTTATTGATGTCATGTTTTTTGTTTTATTTGATTGTTTTCAGTGCATTTATCAGGAAGGCAATTTTCTACTCTGTGTTGCCATATGATTTCGAATTGCCTGGGTGTACTCCGTCTAGAAGTTTGTAAACCTTATACCGAGACACCCTGTGTCTCCACAAGTGTGATGAATAATAAAGTATGCATTGCGTTGAACATGTTTCGCGATTATGTTATTTAAAAAAGAAAATGTAGATAAAAAGATTAAGCCAATATAAAATTTTCATATATTGATATTTTATAATATAGTTTGTCCTTTTTTTACTTAGTGTATAAGCATAATTGTATAAGCGTATTTATTTATTATGATCAATTCATTAAGAAATAGGCATATGTGATTAGAATGTGCTTTTATAGCCCGACTCATGGCTCAGCGGAATTGTGCGTCGCTGGTGAGAATTAGGGCGGAGGTTCAATCCGCTGACGGCTTTAATGTAGACCCTGTTTCAAAAAACGAGGAGACTCAATGGCGTTTGGGATGACCAGCATCTTGTCTTGGGAGGTGGACTATTTGGTGGGAGTTTTCAGGGTTTTATCCTATATGATACGGAAAGGCTAAGTAGTTCCTCCTGAAAGTCCTTAATAAAAGTCTTCTTCCTGAATTCTGATTCTGAATTCTTTTATAGTTCTCCTACTTTTCTTCTTCAGCGTCACGGAGCCAAGTCAAACTTCTATCTACAGATGCTTCATCAAAAACAGAAGCTGCCTCTTTTCTTCAATCCATAAATAGTTTACTTAAGGGATGTTTGTCTCGAACTGCCGAAAACTGTGAGTTAGAGATGTGTTTTGCATATGTATTTTACACACATGTATTTTTATATACCTATCTCATTTTTGAACCGTCTTAAAACGGGATCGTATTGTATTTAGAATTCTCGAGGGCTTGTCAGATGAGCTCGTTAAACTATTTTAAACGTGAAAAAAACCTCCATTTCCACTCAAATAATGACTTTAACGATGCGCGCACATTCAACATTTAACATCTATAGGCCAATTGCATAAAGTAGTTTATTGCTCAAATAAATAAAGACACGCGGTTTGTTGTTTTCTATTTTTTCTCCCGCGCATATAAATTCGCCAAAAATCATGCACACATACCTTACTGTATGAGTGGCATTTTCTTCACCTTGAAGGAAAAGTGTGCGTGATATATGATTTGCGATCATTTTGAAAGTCTGCTTGAAATTTTAGCTGAGATTTAATAGTAACAGCAAAAATACAATTTTGATCTGCTAAATTGAATACAGTCTGTTACAAAATTATAAAACAACTCAAAATTCCACACTTTTACAATAAAAACCATTATAATAACTACCATTTACGACTTACCTTTAATTAATATATTCCAATTACAATTTAATGCGAATTGGAGAATGAAAGCACATTAAACGAAACAATTTTGCAGGAAGTTTAATACTGAAAGAAGTACAATTTTAAACTGTTTTATCGGTATCTGTCGATAGAATCGGTTACAAAATTTCTAAGACCACATAAAAATCCATTTTTACTTAATGAAGATAACTTTTAATGAAAAATGTCAACAAAGTTTTATGAAATGAGACGATTTTGCAGTGTTGATTTAGTTTAACTTTTCATATCAAATGATTTTTCGAAATCGAGGTATTGCATAAATATAAGATAATCTGTTTTTTAGTTAGCAAGCACTATTTGTTTAACTTTAGAAATAATGGCAATCTAAGCCGTTTGAAAAGTTTTGAAAGGAGGAAATAATTAAATCTATTTGATTCTTCAGATTATTAAAATGCTTTGTGAAAGAGAATTTTCTGACTCGCACAGCACCAAGACTTCTTAAGAGAGTTCCAAACACATATTCTCCGGAAATCAAAGTATCTTCTTAGGTCCAACTCACGGACTCCTGTTGGTGGCATGGATGTTTGGGGGTGGTTCAGAAACCACATTAAACTGTAGGTCCCGGTCTAATTAGCTTAAAGTGTGCACAAAATGACCGTAGAGCGACAAACCAAACCTGATCCTTCTTACAAATTGTGTCGTGTCAATATGAGCAATGTCTTTTAGTAAATATTTTTATGGTAAAATTCTATATTATTATTGTATATGTTAGACTATATTCTATGTGTGTCCCTTGGAAGGGGGCTGTGTGTGGTCTCCGCACCTGACCGGATGGGTCAGAGCTGGGGATGAAGGGGATATATGTGGAAAGTATTTTAATTGGCAGGGGCCATAAAACACTTCGAGGCCAGATGGTCAAGAAATCAGTTGATCAAGACAGGGACTTGGATTTATGGACGGGGCGTCTGCCCAACGGATATAGACTCTAATACGGTGTCGGCAATCGCCTCCCTGGAAAGTATTTTTAATTGGCAGGGGCCATAAAACACTTCGAGGCCAGATGGTCAAGAAATCAGTTGATCAAGACGGGGACTTGGATTTATGGACGGGGGAGCGTCTGCCCAACGGATATAGACTCTAATACGGTGTCGGCAATCGCCTCCCCTGGAAAGTATTTTAATTGGCAGGGGCCATAAAACACTTCGAGGCCAGATGGTCAAGAAATCAGTTGATCAAGACGGGGATTTGGATTTATGGACGGGGGGAGTGTCTGCCCAACAGATATAGACTCTAATACGGTGTCGGCAATCGCCCCCACCGAGAATGAACTATAAAATGGAGGTGATGGACATCGCAGGAGGACAGAGAGAAAGAAAAGAGACGAGGAACGGAGACTCCGGAGCTTGAAGGAAGGTGCCTGAGCGAGGCTGAGATGGTTGTACACCACCAGCGCAAAATATAGAGATATAAACTGGGAGTTTGACGGCGATTCGGAATTACTGGCTGCTCTGGCATACTTCTATGATTTCACTGGTGAACCCCTGGCAGCAGCGGGACTTGAAAGAAGAAAGTATACAATCCAAGCTACATTATATAGTCAAGTTTCCCTTGGTCTCCTGCTGACACAAGAGCCCCATGAGCGGTTGGACGGAGCACCCTTGCTGCCAAGACTTTGATTTGTGGTGCGTATAGAGCATTATTATCACTAAAAACATTAAAGTTAACAAAGAAAAAATGAGCCCTTCTTCCCCAGCTGTCGTGGCAAATTATGAAACTGTAAGGTCAATCACCTTGTTATTATATTATTGAACTTTAATTTAGAATTGCAAGCAACTGTATAAGTTATATTTTATTTAAGGCATTGTCTGAATTATACTTTTATTGATAACATTAATTAAATGACTTTAATTTCAAGCTGACTATTGTAAATATCAATAAATACATTTTTGTTTATATTTTAAATTATGAAATTTTCGTCTGTGTGTTATTTCATGTGTGTTTCCTTTTCCAACTTACATAAGTCTCTGAAGGCATGCGAATTAGTTGATTTAAAATGTGGTATGGGTTATTGCGGAATTTCATAATGGTCATCGTGTGTTAAGTAAACGGTGTAGCTAGTTGTTTATAGGATCGGGTATTATTAATATGAATGTTTAAAAGTAAATGACAACACCACAATTGGCTTGTTATAAGCCTTTTGTAGCCTCTGATGATCAATTCCACAGGTTTCGGGTTTGAGTCTAGGTAATGCCATGGATGTTTGTAGTGGTTCGGAATCCACTTTAAACCACAGGTCCCTGTATAATA